ATCGTTATTATTCAGCAAATCAATCATCATCGTATTTGTCCACTGCTATACATCAGAATATTGTTATTGAAATGTATTCATTAATGGGATCTAACTCTATTCCATATGGTAATCCTATCGAATATTCTGGAATGGTGTCTCTTGGAGACCTTTACCCACGTCTTTGCTCATTCCATTGTGATCCAATATCGCCAATGTATTGTGATTCAAGACTTACTACATATCAACGATTACCAACTTCGAATTATTTGTATTGACATTAGTACATTTTTTTCTAATTTTTAGTATTTAATAAAATAGATATTTAATAAAAAAAAACAAGTATATTTTGTCTGTGTAGATGATTAGATTTGCATGTGTTTTGTCAAAGTAAATTATAATAATTTTAGTCAATATTAAATAATAATGAATAATCTTAAGATAATATTATCATCCAACTATATCAATTATTGTAACAAATAGTTCTTTCTGTGTTCTTAATACGATTCAATACTATTCAAACGTACAAACATAATCTTTGTTTTGAAAAATGTACCTTATGCTTCCCTTGACATCAATTCAATCCTAAAGGTAAACGATCTACACATTTCACAGTATTATTTTAGTGTAAAACATCACCTTAAGAGCACGTGACAGTGAGAATAGCTGATATATTTATGCCGTATTTATATACAACATCAACAGATATTGTTTGTAATCATTCATGAAAATATGATTACTAAGATAACGTAAAGAAATAACTGTATATTCATTTCTTTTTCTCGCTTTATTTTCATGAAATATAGCGATAGCAAAAAATGAAACAAAAAATATCAATATACTATTGGTTCAAATAGAATCTACATTACATCCCTAATGAATATTCATTAATTTCGTAAAGAAACTTCATATCGTATGGACGAACCGTAATCCTGCGAGAAAAGTTTGATTCGTTGTTAATGATGTAATAAGTAACTTGCATTTAATTATATTTATATAAAGAGCTTGACTATAGTCTATCTAGAAGACTGAGAAGAGATGACTCGCTGATCAAATTTAGATTACCAGACTAATTTAGAACTTTTGATAATTGAATTGTTATTCTTTGATTGATGAAGTAAAATATAAAGACGAGAATAGGCTGTTTTTTTCTGAATGACTGGTAGATGGCGAATATTATTATATGACTCAACATGTATTGCATCAAACAAAGGTATTAACAAACTAAACTTCGTCATCGCAACATATTATCAATCATAACTCATCATTTATCTCTTTGGGAGTTGTAATAAGAAACTTTTTTAGAGAATGTTTAGAGTGCGACATTTGAATTGTCGTTATATATATATCGCGTCGCTGAAGTGAAAAGAAAAGTAGAAAGTGCAAGTACAAAGACAACGTTGTGTCTTTAACATTTCTTGAGAAGAGTTACTTATAATAAGTTTTCAAGAGATAATTGATCAAAATACTGTTGCGATGAAGAAAACACGTGGATTAATGACACTATTAATCTGCCAGAGCAACACTTCTTCGAAAAATAATTTACAATAGGTATATTATTTGTATTATATTCTCATACTTTACATATTTTGTCAGACACGTATGTTTATCTTTTAATAATAAAAATTTGCTTTTCATTCTTAATATGTCAACATTATCTTGTTATAAAGTATTAAAAATTCATTCTCTATACGTTTTGTATTTTTTTATTTATACGGAAATATCGTTCAATTTGAGTATGTGCAACCTTTAATACAAACAATGATCAATCCGTTACTCATATCCTCAAATATAAATCATATATTTTTTGGAAGATATTTTTCATTATTATTTTTTTTGATTTAAAATGTGGTTCCCGTATCCCGAAGGAAACGGGAGTAGACCAAACTCAACGGCACTGCAGTGTCGAGATGATCCGCGGCATAGGTCCAAGCGAACTCGAATGTTCCTAGCCGATGTCCAAAAATCCGCTTGAAAGAGCCTGATCTCAATGAGATCAGCGCCGGCTTTCAAACCGACGAGAACAGATATTACACTTTGATCTTAGCCTAAAAGGCCGAGAAGCGATAACTAAGCAGTCAAACTCAAGTTCTTTATTCTCACTCTGCCCATACACATTTCATTTTTTTTTTCAAATGAAAGATAATAATAGATTCGTTTCGAAATTACAACACGTTTATTCAGCATGATTCTTATGCAATGAATATTTCGTAAGAACAGTTGAAAAATATTCTATGACTCATCATTATATAGCGTGTTTATTACTATGAAGAGTTGGGCTTGAAGAAAAAAAAGTGTAGTTAAGATATATTTAGCTAATTGAGTTGTTCACTTTGTAAATATTTTAATTAGAATCCAATATGTAATACATTCTCAACAAACTGTCTCAGCATACGAGATACAATACGGATTGTCCAGTCTATACAGTTCTCTTTTCTATCTACTCTAGTTGAGATGTGCGAAAAAGAATAACTGTATGAAAAACCTAACAGATTATAGTTCTGGTTTAATACAAATCACCAGATTGGTGACATCAACTTGCAGTGATGAATACGTCGTTTTTTCATATCATGTATAAACAGATTAGCAATTTTTATTAAGTATATTTTCGTTTTTCAAGTTCTTCTCAATATTGATTGTGTAAATTATACACACAATGCGAATCAAAAACAAATTTCCTAATCATAACAATATGACCTACGTTTTTCATATTCTCGTGATTTCAATAGCAAAAAAATCTCTATTTTACTAGTCAACAAGAAATCAACCGATCGCTGAATGTTCCCATAATGAAAAAATAAAAAATTAATAATTACAATTTTATCAATCGTTCGATGCCTCCATATTCCGATTCAAAGAAAAAAAGAGCAAGTCCAGCTAAACTATGAGATGGATAAGATTAATATTTTTCTTTTGAAATAAATTTGAATTCTCGAATTGCAAGTGTAAATAATGAGTTGTAGCAATTAAAGAAGTAGAAAAAAACTGTCACCTCTCGTTCACAAGGAAAAAAAAGAAATGAATATTTTTTTATTATTACTCGATAGAACGGAAATGAAATATTTTATTTTTCTGTTATTCAATTTAGGAAAGTTGTTAACTATATAGATTGCTTGCTTTAACAATATGTTGCTAAATATTAAAAAAAATTGTCAATTTCCAGAGTGCTATTTTTTTACTATAAAAGATGTGAATCATGCAATGCTCAACTCATTTTTTTCTATAAAAAAATTCCATTTTATACTGTCATATTTATTTAGGTATGTAATACTATAGGTATAAGAAAAAAATAGTTGTTGGCAACTAACACTTCAAACCATTTTCTTATTGACATACAGAGTGGGTCATAAATAATAGTGCAATACGAAACTTTAATATCATTACTTCAGTTCGGTTGAATAAACTGATGTGTTGATTATTGGTAGAACTTTACTCAAAGTTTTTTTTTCGTATGAATCATGTAAGTAAATATTACTAGATAATTTTCAATTGTTATTTGAGAATATCAAATCAGTAAGTTCTTAGCCAATAAAACAATTTTCGTATTTTCTTAATTAATAACAATTTAAATTTCTTTCATCAAGTCAACTTATGTGATTCATATGAAAAAAAAACTTTGAATAAAGTGTCACCGATCCTCAAAAAATCAGTTCATTCAATCGAACTGAAGTGACGATATTCAAATTTCTCATGACCATTTTGTGTATATACAGAGGCTTAAATCGAAAAATAATATTTGCTCTAGAATGCATTAAATCTTCATTCTTTGATACAAAAACAAAGCGCATTTCAAATAGAATCCATATAGTTATTCAACGTACAGTTGAAATCGATTACTTCTATTCATATTTCAATCAGCATAAAAGTATAATTCAGAAAGGTATTGAGTTATATAGAGGTAGTTTTTTTTCAATAGTGTCCTACTTTTTTACATTTCTATCCTGTCCCAATAAAATCGCAAACACATCAGAATATACGTTAGTTTTTTCTTAGATAGATATTTCAATAAATAATTATCGGACTGTTAAAATGAATAAAATACATGAAACAGTGAATCCTATAACAAACGCCTGGTCAACAGCTTCTGAACCATCAGCGTCAAATAAAAAACGTGAACGAGCTGGTTCAGTTGTTAAAGAATTTAGTTTGAACACAACAGCACATGGTGTACCAAGTATTGCTCGTAGTCATAGTATTCATAATCGTGTATTTTGGATTCTATCATCATTAGTTTTTCTTGGTG